AAGTGGAAATTAAAATGAATGAATTGATTTTGAAATGTGTGGTTTGAGAGTGATTATTATGGTGTGGTTATGGTTTTAGTTGTGCTTATAATTGTAATAAGTTATTGTATCAGCCAAATAAATGATCAATCAGTGGATAGAATTAAAGATGTGTATGAGAAGGAATGACATAGCATAGGTAGGATAGCATAGCATAGGATAAAGCAGGCTAGAATAAATCTTTGAAAATTGAAGTGTATGCTGAATGGATGTTTATAGGTATGTAGATGTGGATATGGATGTAAAATGATTCGAATATGTATGATATGATATGATGTGATGTGGTGCGATGTAGGAGGTGAAGGAGGGGGAAGGGTTTTGTTATATGGATTGAGGAAATAGTGGGATGGGGTTTGAAGATGGTAGGATTAGGATGATATTGTGGATAGGAGAATGGAAATTAGAGATAGTAAGGATGGGTTTTGAGGATGGTAGGATTAATTAATTAATTGTAAGATAATGTTGTGGATTGGATTATGGGGGTATGGGGTTTTTTTTAAAATGAATGGATGGAAGGATAGATGAATAGATGGATTTTTGTAGAGGGGAAGAGGAGAGGAGGGGAAAGAATTGTTACGAAGTTTGCCGTCTAGATCACGTGGAAGTGCTCTAGGCTCTCGAAGTGGTTTATAACTAGGCGTCAAGCAGGGACTTAAGTAATGACAATGATGATATGCAATTCGTAACTAATAGTAGAGTATACTAAATGATTGATCTTGAGCACGAAGCTCTACAAATGGAAACCTATCCTTCTTATATAGAACCTCATACTCTACTGTATTCCTTTGGATCTCTTGGATCTACTGGATCTAGAGTTTAGCTCTCCAGATCCTCTAGATCCCCTAGATCCGTCACGTGATTTCAATCAGAACATATGTCTGTACTTGCTGAAGGTGGGGAGACTCTATGAGTCAATTGCCATACAATTTTGTATGTGAATCGACTTGCTTTTCTACAGGGCCCAAGCTCATATGGACATGTTGGCTGTTACTTCGTAACAGATTACTTGATATTATCTTTTCAAGACTTTAATAAATTATCAAAATCAAATGGTTTATTAGTTTTTTTTTTTCTTTTTTTAATAATCTTGATTAGAAATAATTATTATATTATTATACTCCTAGATAATTAAGTTCAAAGAAGAGTGATAAGAATAAGACGTGACTACCGATATAAGATTGATACACGTGATTAAGAGATATGAATTAAGTATCCTTATGTTTGTTATGTTTGTTCCGTTTACTACCTAGTATGTCAGATCTCATCTTGAAGTCTACCTACCTAGGTACGTACCTATCTATTCATTTCGTACACAATACACAAGACACTTCAATAACCACCAATCACATGACACACCCATTCTAAAAGCCATTGAAAAACAATGGCGACATATCTAATAACTAATCTAGAACAATCCCCCATAATACCTACCTAGGTATACATAACTACATTACACCGTTCCGTCCCTACAAAGCGATTGATTGATCGAATGCAAAGCAAAGCAAAGCAAAAATCACGAGCTCCTTCCAAAAACTCACCTAACCCACCTCCCCCACTCCTGGGGATACTCCTGGGCTGGGAACACTAGACTCCTGGCTGGGGACACAGCAGCAAAAGCAAAAACGGAGCAACCCAAGCAGCCATGTCTCACCTATCGTACCGGCACGTCCAACCATTCATTCCGATATTTCCGATCGTATGATCGTAATCTTTCGGTGTTGTGTGCGCGCTTGGGAGCTGTGCTTGGTTTTTTTTGGTGCTTACGTTGTGTTGTTGTGTTTGTGTTGTGTTTTGTTGGAGGATTTGGGTTGAGGTTGGGGTTTGGTGTTTGGATTTTAGATTTACGGTGTTTGAAAGGGAGAGAGCAGAGAAAGTGGAAGTAGAGAGGGAATGGTGGAGTGGGGAGTGGGAGTGGTAAGGGGTGGTTTTTGTGCTGGGCTGGGCTGGGCTGGGGTGGAACGTGATTTTATATGAAAGATTGAGATTGTGAGATTGTGAGGTTCGGGGATTGGGATTACTAGCGCAATTTTGGGAGGAGCATTGAGGATTGTGGGTGGTGATGATGGATGGACCTGAGTTAAGAGAGAAATGAAAGATCTTAACTTTAATCAGATATACGTACCTAGGTACCTTCAGTAAACTACCAGGTAGGAAGGAGGAATGTCCAAGATACGATAACCGAGTCAGGAAAGAAATGAGATATTTATGGGTACTGCGCTACAGAACCACAAAGAGCCAAGGCTAGACTGACGCTATTGTAAGAAAGTTTAGCCACATAAGCCACTTTCCGTTATTTAGGCATTAATTGGTACTTGTGGCTGGTAAATGACGGGAATATGCGTGTGATGAGAAAAGCCACGTAAATTGATGATTGGGGGCCAAGTGGCATGTGATGATTGAGATCCGATTAAGATTGAGGCGATTCGTGATTCTTACCGTGTCGCCTGTAGATTGTGGTTATCGGTGTACAGGATAGAAAGGTGGAAGGGGGTTTCAAGGGGATATAACGGGAATCTTGGATTTGCAAGGGTTTCTTGTGGGTTCAATGGGTGGTTGAATCGAATGAGATGAACATATAGAAGTTGAATCGTTTGGTGATTGCGGGGGATAAATTGAAATGCAGGACTGGGAGTTGGGTCTTGCTTGCATGACATGGCATGACATTACAGACTAAATTACATGACATATAGGAGTAGCAAATTAAAATGACGAAAAGGAGGCATGATGGGAGAGCTT